TTCGATTGCTATATTTTTTAATTATTTTTTATTTTACATATATTAAATTACTACAATAGTTTTTCTTAGAGGTGGTAATTTGTTCCAAGTCTCAATGGGTTATCCATGCCCATGGGGACTTTGGACGGGATGGGTACTGGAATTTGATATTGGGTTTAAAATGGGACAAATCCCAATTGTACCCATTAATTGATGGGAAATTTTGGGAAATACTTGGGTACCCATTGGGTTCAAATAGCAAGGGTTCCGTTTGGATTAATTATTTTTTGGAGTGTTTTTGAAATATTGTATTGTAGCAGTGTATATGAAAAATTTTTACTATAAATTTTTTTGAAATATTTGATATACTAATATAGATGAGATGTTTTCTGCGTTATTGTATATTACTATAACATTGTACTTGAAAAAATTATTTTTTGAAAAAATAGCCAATCCAAACGGAGTCTTGATTCAAAAAGTATCTTTAACAATTTTTATAATCATACCAGCAAATATAATCTAGCAATCTTCCTAGTCATTATCCACAAGAATTTCTAGCATTTTAGTCAGTTTAGACCTGTCATCCTCGGACAATGATGAGCATAAATATTCAACACCCTAAGTGCCTTGGCCATCTTGATATATGTTGGAATATGGCTGTATATCTATCTTTTCCTTTATTTGTTAACCCAATTTTTGGTGAGAATCCTGAGTATAAAGCACTTGCATGTTTATTTAATAAAACTAAAAGAAATTTAATAAATAAAAAATATTAAAGTTATATAAAAAATTAAAAATGAATTAAAGAAAAAAAAATATGTAGAAAATAGATTTGGGTATTGGGCGGGATCAATCTAAACCCATCCCAAAGTGATCCCGCCCAAGTTAGTCCCAAAACACATGTGGGTAAGGTTGGACCCAAACCCATATGACTCGGTTCCATCTCAAACCCAAGCAAATCCCGCCCATTTTGCCACCTCTAGTTTTTCTACAACGAGTGCTTATACAAAAGTTTCTGCTTATACATACTAGTGTTATTGGCCTGGCTGGAATCTTTTGCAGTTCTGTTTTGGGTTCGTTTGGATATACATATTATTCTAAATAATATTTCGCTTGCATTATAAACACATTTCTCAACCCACCTTTTTATATTTCACCTTTTTATATTTCCAATCAACTTTTTACCTCACATACATCACATCACAAAAAGTGTTACAGTAATTATTCCAAATAATATTTCAAATAATACTCTATCCAAACAAAAATATGTTGAGGCACTAGAAATTATTTCCTTTCCTTTGAATAAAATATGAAGTGCCACAGGATAAAATCATCCACTGCAAGGATGACAAAGACAAAGAGGTTAGGTCAACTAAAAGCCATAACATAAAGGTGGTTTATAGACATGGGAGCAAAAAAAAAAAGTTTTTTTTTCGAAAAAAAAGAAAAACATTATAGAAGCAAAAACTCCGACCTGCCGGATTCGAACCAGCGACCTAAGGATTAACTGTTCGGTTTCACAACTACAGTCCTCCGCTCTGCCAACTGAGCTAAGGTCGGAGACGCAATACCTGCGCTGAAAAATTACATCCTATGGATGACTTTTAAATTCGGCCAGCCTGTTGGGCTCTATATGATTTGGTCCATGAACGAATACGATTGATTGGACGTAGAATCCGCGTGATTATAGAAGGAAGAAGTCCAGAGAACACACGAAAATTACCAAACTTTTGACTAATAGTAGACAATTGCTTTGAAGCTTAAATGTGGGGGTTGTTCCGTGAAGCTTCCATAGGTGACAAAATGAGCAGCTAAATGACGCAAAATGTAAAGATAAAGAAGCAAAGTAACTACCTGAACGAAGCAAATTTGTGTCTCTAGCCTGCTTTCTAGCTCTGGTCCGTTAACAAAAAACCATTGGACTATTTCTTCTTACCAATTTTTTCGGCGTATAGGTGGGCCGTTTTCAGTTTGAACCAAATCCGCCTTTTTTTTAATGGCAATCCACTTAAGGTACAGGTCCAGAAACTGCACAGAAGAAAAATAGGAAATTACCGCTCTTAACCAATAATTCTTCCAAATCTATTTTTTTTAACATCTCAAACATAAAAAAGTATGATACTATTATACAACTGCTCGTAAGTTCAAAATTCGACACTTACACATAATGCTGCAAGCCTGCATCTAGATTTAATATATATATAAGCATGTTGAATTAAGCATCAGCATGTTCAATAAAGCACCTTGACAATTTCTGAACATCCTCCAACTGGAGGGGAAAAGAAAGAGAGAGAGAGAGGTAAAAATCACAGTCGTCCAAAGGAAGATGGATTAAGGGATTTTCTGATATTGTTAACTATCAATATTTGCCCCCACGGGTAGTTCGGCCTGGACTAGTCGTCAGTCTTTACTGCAAGGTTTTGGATTCGACTCCCGTGAGGTAACTCGCTAGCATCATTGGATGAGGCTTTGCTAGCTTTAGGGATTAGTCTGGCCAAATAAAGGATGAGACACCCTAAGTGGAAAAAAAAAAAAACCATCAATATCTAATATTTTAAAACCATCTTCAATTAAAGGCAATTGATGAATTTTTTCTAAATCTTGGTGACACCTACCAACTTGTGGCTTTTACGTGTGAATAGCCCAATAAGTTCGTGGTTACTTCCGACCCACATCTCCTCTCGTCAGTATAGTCACCAGGAAGCGGTGTGGCTACTTCGGGCCCAAAGCTCCGGCTATCTTTAGTAGGAATTTTCCTGTGTCCAGCATTGTCACCAAGAAGCCAAGCCCAAAAATTTTTTTCCCATGAAATATGTTGGAAGGATTGCAAATGAAAGTTTTTTGTTCCTTTTTTTTTTCCAAAGGTTTTTACCTTTTTCCTAGTTAATTACTCTAAGGCGTCTTGTATGGAATTGGTCTGAAGGAACCAGCAACGGAAAAAAAAAAACACATGGATGCTACAATTATTCGTGTTAAGGGAAGAAGTAGGGATCATAATGAATAATCGCAAAGATATGATGAACATTATACTTGGATGATAAAATTTCGAGAACCGATGGATCCATTGAGATTTAACTTGCAAATCATCAGAAATCTTGAAAGCCTTTGGCTTTATTTTTGTCTCTGAATCCCACATGAACAACGCACACGAGAAGAAAGAAAATATGATCCAGGTTCTAGTTTTCTACTGAACAAGTCGTATCAAATTGTACCGACACTCCCATTATTCCAATAGGAGCCAAGAAGCATAAAATATTTAGCAGATACAAAATTTCTGCTCATTGAAAACGCCACAAAAGAGAAAAAAAATTACAAACCGTGGTCCATAATTCTGTTCCTGCTGCTTGTGCATGTAATTTCCTTCTACATTGCATCATAACCATGGTCCATAATTCTGATAGATACCAACCTTAGAAAATAAAAACATGCTTGTACGATACAACTAGGATGAAAAAGTCGTATGGCATTAAATACTAGTCAGACATCAAACGTAGGGATGAGGAAAAATCGAACTACTGTTTAGCGTATTTCTTAGAATTGTGGTCGTATTCTTGATTGAATTATCTTTGTTGTCGTCTCAATAATTCAACCAAGAATACTAACTGTATTACTGGTTCTCAGTAATGGAATTTAGCAGTGATGTACTAATTGGTAATATTAGGAAAGCAACATTGCTGACATTTATTTTCATGGGAATGCCTGAGATTATGAAACATCTTTTACTCGAAAAATGGTATAAATCCAACTTAACACTCTCCAAGATGTTCTGATCTTCCGACCGTGTAAATGTCTTTGTTCTTTGAATATTCGTTATTCATTAATCGTATGCCCCACCGTATATTTTGATTACCAAGTTTCAGTTTAAAAGTCAAGGGGACACAAACCTACTATGCTATCTCGTATCCAATTGTATAGATTTGGAATAAAGCAATTTGAAGACATTGAAAATTCTGACTTCTGAGAGACGATTTTCTACACTCTTTGTTTCCAAGATGCCGCCTACAAAATAAACAAGAGTTCTGTTAGGCAGACATGATAGAAGTTGAGTATTTTGCCCCCAGTCCTGGTGATAGGGATGAAGTGTATTGGACTGCCCCTGCTTCTGGAAAATTCACTTTTATGTTAAGTCTGCTATGACTCTATTCAGGCAGCCTGGTAATTGAGTTAACCTGCATCACCTAATTTGGGGTCAAAAATCTGTGCCATGCTACCCTTTATCGTTTTGGCTATTATGCAAGGTTTTTAAATTTTTTTTTTGGGTAAATTAAAAGTTTGAATGGGTTCAACTCCGGTCATGATCAAGAGTCAGAGTATGCTTTTGGAATCATAAGTTGCTTATAAGGGTTCTTACAGTAGCCCAACAACATAGTCACGGGATTCGAACATCCGACATTTTGTAATAAAGTGATCCGTCATTACCAATTAAACCAATTTGTGTTGTCTTTTAATTTTTTTTTTTAATGCAAGGGAAGGTTGACAACTAAAGATAGATTAAAGGCTTGGGGCCTGGGGGATGAAGATAGATTCTGAGCTTTGTGAACCCTGTCAAAACACTGCTGGAACTATGAAGCATTCTTTTTCTTTTTTTTTTAAACTGTTCCGCTTCTAGCAAGGTGTGGCAAAAACTTCTACTAACTCTGCGTGATACCTATAGCTCCACTAACATGGCACAGTGAGCTGCAATGGATTTGTACTCACTGGAAGACAAACTCATTTCCAGATTCAATAGGTTAAAAGACTTGTCTTCTCTGCTGTAATTTATCAATATTTGGAGGAACCAAGAATCAGTCTATGTGTCATCATATCCCTGCGTCTGCAGTCAATATTGTAGCTGCTGTTCTTACCTCTGTTAAGGCTACTGTTGCTCGATGGTGCAAAGGAAAATTGGACTTTGGTCATGGAACTTGGCCTGTCAAGTGGCTGCTTCAGCTAATGACTTATACAGAGTATGGTAACATAATTGGAATCTTTGTACTTTTTCTTTTCTAAAGGATTTGGAAATTGGAGGAATGTGATTTCCACAAATGAATGCGCAAATTTTCTTTATTATAACCAAGAAAAGATAATCATACATTTGAGCTGATCTACAGTTAAACCTCATGAAGACGCTCCCAATTCACCACATACATCTTTGATCTTTTTTTTTTTTTTTTTTTGGTGTCATTACTTCTTACGTTCTCTATCAACTACTGCAGCTATATTACAAATACAATAACATGATCATTACATTAAATATTTATTGCCACAAACAAAACAAAATGGATTCCGCTTCCCAATCTTGGAGGCTTGGACGCTTCAACTACTCTTGCATCTATTCTTGGCAAGTGGACCCATCTCAAAACACTCCAGACAATTAAAACAACTTCATATTTTTTTTTTTGAAATTTTTAAATAAGGAAAGAGTGAAATTTAAGAAAACGGGGATTTGGACCTTCTAAATCCTGAGGCTCGACCTTGATATATTCTTTTATTAATTTAAAAATTTTCCCCCCAATAAGACCTAGCACTCAGGTGTATGGGTGTGGTCTCTACTAGGATCCGCGCAATAATCATAAACCTTGTAGTTCCTCTGGACCCATGCCATGGCTGCATATTGCTTGCTGCTCAGCCCACTAGGACCCGCCGGAGAAGCAGATATAGAGCGGCAAGTGGCAGCGCCATTGGTGGTGCAACCACCTAATTTGAAATTGTTGTACCTCCCAACAAAGGGCTGGTACTGATAATCAGCTTTGTATTTTCCTTCCTCGGTGGCCCATGATGATGCATCCCAAATCGAACCGTACACCCACATAGGTCTTAGAGGAAATGTGGCATCACTTTTTCTTGGGTATCTTCTAATTGGCACGTCGTCGACAAAAAATCTGAGAATCACATCATAAGAAAATTGTCACACACGTAAACAAGAAAAAAATTGTTTAAAAAAAATGAACATGAATGATTGCTATATATGATGGCGATGAAGCACATGAGGATTCAGAAAATGTAGCTGCGTGTAAATTGCTTGTGATTTTCACTGGTCATTTTCAATCCGTGTCAGGTCACAACTAAATGCCATTCTTTACTTGATGCATGAATCGACTAAAGAATTTTTTTTTCAAGATTAGTAAATACACAACTAACAAGAATTGTAGGTCACACTTACTACTGCCTTTTTCTTTCACCAAATTAGAGTAATATAAGCAACTTCTTTCTTTTGTTTTTCACCAAACCTGTCAATTCAAGTATATTTACTCTTGCTCAGCAGCATGAAGAAGTTTTGTGCTTTCTAGAGACGGACAAAACTGATTATAGGACATAAAAATATCGAAGTAGGACTGACCTGACGTTGGACTTGGAATATATATATATAAAAGTTACCCCTCCGAGACTTTTATTTCTAAGCTGAAGTAAATGTTCGATATGGACATATCTTGCCATGCTATTATTCCATCGAAAAATTAATTAGGTCCCTAGCCCTACATGCATGAGTGAACAGTGATATCAAGTACGTATAAAGTAATTTGACAAAGTAGGAAATAGAGGAAAAATAATTGGGAGTGTTATAATGATGAGAAACTCAATTGGTATTATGTATGTGTTATAAAGTATACTGCGGCTGACATGATTTCGTTAGGGCTCCAGAGTATAGCATAGTTGTGGAAATCTTTCGTGGGGTCGAACCAAAGGTGAAACTTCATCTCCCTGCCTACAATGTTTCCATCTCCACTTCCTCTCATGTAGACGTTTGTTTGCAATGTATATGGCTTATCAGTAGTTGTCCCGAGAAACTCGATGTCAATCTCATCATGGTACCCGGGATAGTCCTCGTTGTTTGAAAGCTGTCATTATGCACAATTTTTGCTTAATATACTAATTAGGTTAGTTAAGCACTTGGTACGTAGGAGTATAAATTTAGTTAAATTCTCACGTAGAAAGATGTAATGACTCCAGCTGTATAACCAGGTTGGAGCTTGACGGCAGCACCAAAATAACCAGATCGATATCGGTTGAGGGATTTGAATCCGCTGCCTGCATGCAATTTGTGAAAAAAGAAAATGCAATGATATTACCATTGTGAGAGAGGCCAAAAAAGGTGCAGCTAGCTAGGAAAGTGCAAGTGAGACATGATGATCTAAGTTGTGTAGGACCTAATTATCATACCTGAGCTTCTATCAAGCCAGACTGTTAAAGAGCCTTGCTCGATCCTTTGATTCTGAGGACCCCAAAGGGTCCTAAAGCCCTGGTTAAACCCTAGTGAAGCAACTCTTGAACTAGGGTAGTAGCCCGGGGAAGGTGGATCGCCCTGAGCGTTGGTTGGAGGGAGCAGGAAAACTATGAAAAACGAGAGAAGAATCAGGGCCATAACTCTTGAAAGAGCGCACAAAAATGCGTACGAAAAATTGGAGCTAATGTGCCCTGTTAATAATGCACCAGATGTATGAATAAAGTGTAGTGGAGAACTCATGTGCTTGTCCTCGAATGGAATGGAATTGCAAGGGATTGAAGGAGCTATAAATAAGGAGAAAGCATCGGGGTCCTACACTTCTGCCATAGAAATGAAGTAATAACTAAGGAGGTCGCACAAAGAGACAAAAGTCGCAAAATTTTCAATATTGTTAAATATCAAGCTGGAGAAGAAACTATCAAGCCGTATCTTATTCGTTTCCATTTTTCTTTCCTTTTGTTTACGAGAAAACTTGTGTGGATGGAAGTGGAACTTCAATTCGGTTTAGATGATCTCTTTTTAGTTGCCTAGTAGTAGTTTATTGCTCAACGCGTGCGTGGCTTCTAGTTGTGGAGCAGATCCATGATAAAAATCAGAAATTTTGTCATCTAACTAATTTTAACTTGGTTAGAATATTTAGAAGGACCTAATTAGAGGAACTGAGTAAGTTTATGCAACAAAAGTGCCTCTTAAGATACATTTTAATCAAGTCCATTAGTTTTGTTAATCCTGAGAACGTTATTCTGCAAGATGCTTCATGAGAAGTTAACTTGGTGTGAGCCACCAACTCTGTTATAGTTGTATGTATGGGTCATGCCAGTGGAATGGAAGCTCTTGCCTTTAACCAAAAAAAAAAAAAAAAATTCAGAAATCTTGATTTTATGCTTCTAGACTTAAAAATCTTGCTAGTTTGCTATATATTAATTTGCAAACTATAAGTCGATTCATAAACTCCTGAGCAAAGCCTAGCTACAATTCCACCACTCTGCTTTTCTTGATCATATTGGATGAGTAATTCATCATTCACACCTTTATTTTCTTCCCAAAAAAAAAAAAAAATCTTCAGAGCTAATTATTTTGGGTTGCAAATTATTCCATAATATAATAAAATTAGGTTGCAAATTGGCACCATCTTGAAAATTTGAAAGTTAGTATAACGTTACTATTGAACTTTTATTTTAAGAATTTCAGAAAGTGACCACTTGTCCTAATTTATTTGGAAGTTACTAAAATTAGAATCTTGAGGCAAATGGAACAAATTACACTCTTTAATTAACCTCTTTTATCTACTTGTGATGGGATTCCCTATAAAATCTAATTCGCCGGTCACAGTACTGTCTCTGGCTGGAGCATTATTGTATATCAACAAAACTCAAATTACCTCGGAGGATTATCTTCTGCTGTCTTATTGGTGTAAAGATATACACTACTTAAAAGAACCACTTTACAATAATATATCTGTTTTCCAGATTGATTAATTATTGCCCATCTCATGAAACAATAATAAAGAACAAACAGCAAGGCGTGGTCTGAACTTCCTTCTTCTGAAATATAAACACAAACTTACACGTTTCGATATAGCTGCCGTTTTTCTGCCCCCGTGACAAATAAAGGGCTCGCAGACATTTGAAACATGGGGTGTAGATTTTCTGCGTTCAAGATTTTTGTAATTCTTCACTTTTTCTTGATGACTACGGTACATACGAAGATTTCAAATCTATACGAAGATTTTGTCAATGGGGTATACATCAATTTAACGAAAGAATTCTGTCCCCACAAATTCGAAATTACAAGGAGTTGGCTTTCAGATTCTGCATTAAAGATGAAAGATCCAAGAAAGAAAGAAACCCTTAGATTTCTTCTTGTAAAGCGAGGATACAAACATAGAAAACTACCATCCAATCCAAGGATTAAATTGAATTTTGTTACCATTCAAAGTTCACGGGTTTTCATATTCTTTTGACATGAGCGAGGGAATACTACTCGAACTCTACAACTTTCATTCGAACCTATCCAAATGCAATAGTCTACACATTTTTTTTATCAAGCACATGAGAAGTGGACATGCTAATTCCTAAATTTCAATTGTTGACAAGATAGAACATTTTTTCTGATTCTTTTTCCTCTTTAGATGAAACACAATAATGTCCCAACACACCATCTAGCCTATCTCTTGTGTATGTCCCAACATAAAGGAGTCTGAAGTCTGAACTTCCTTATCACCACCTATCTAAAAACAAGGACATTAATTTCCATTCTTGATATTGAAGACTTGTAGACTAGAATGGATGAATGACTTCTGCCTATTCCTGAGACACCATCTGGAAGCCATGTTAGCTATGTAAGGTATTCAGCAATTTCGTTGGGTTTTTTGGAGTCAGAGATAGAATTTTGAGTGGGCAGAGCTGTTGTTTTCCTAGCATTGCCTTGCCATATACATTTAATATATGCATTTTCCCTACATTGCTTTTAATGCCACTGCTATTTTAATACACAAATAGGGACATATGAGAAGATATTTTTTTTTTTAACCTCAAATAAGGTCTTCCTGTAGTACTGATTCAGTAGAATTTGTGCAAAAACGGTCTACCATTTTATTGTTGTCCATTGGCAGCCCGTAAATTCTAATCTCACTGGGAATGAATTATGCACAAATTCACTTCCAAATGGTACATGAAATTATTTACGAAAAAAAGAGAAAAGAATGCGCTAAGATCGATTTGCAACTTCTAAGTGTGAAAGCATATCGTACTAGTCAAATAACCATCTTCATTATCCAGTCCCACAAGGAAAAATTTGCAGACATGGAAGCTGAAAATTTGGGTCATTATGGCCATTTTTGTTGAAGGGGTTTTTTAAGCTTAGAAGTTATGTAGAAGCAATAAATTGATCCAGCAGTTCACGGCACAAAAGCTACTTTCCTGGAAATCTCAATAACTCACGGGCAACGTTTGAGCAGATCGATTTTGTTTAGGTTTCTGTTCAAGATGTCCATCCTGTTTCCTAATTAGTTAGAACTAAGATTTTTTTGGGACCTTATCAAATGAAATGACACTTAACAGTAGCTTTTCTTCCATCAACTTTTGCATGATTTTAAGACATCTATAATTAAGCATGCAACGTCATCAAGCTTTTTGCTCTCAATTTTTTCTTTTCTCTTTTTTTTTTTTTGGGTGGGAAAGATGGAGGTAATATAATCACGAGTGGTATGATTGGTGATTGAACCCGCCACCTATAAAGTCTAAAAGACTTCGAAGCTACAACTTGAATGTATTTCCTGTACGGATTTTGCGTATATTTCACAGCAAAATACTTTAATGTAAATCATTGGACTAGATTGGGTGGGCTATAACTTTCATCAAAATCATATAATTAATTTGCTATCTTTTCTCAAGCGTATTTTATAGACTGCGACAGAATTTTGGAGTTTAGACAAAATGGTTTGTTCAACTGTTGGCCGGCCATGCCCTACTTGACTATGAGTGCATGGGTCCTTTCTGCCGACACTTTGAGAAGCCTTAAGATGCATTTTTCCTGTTAGTAATAGTGATCTTGATTTGCACTCAATATTAGGATGAATTAAGTTATCAGATGATTCGATAAGTTTTTCCATTTATTCTTCAAAAGAAATGGATCGAATTATTTAGAATTGAATGCTCAATTGTGGATAAAGTTTTGAGTAAATCTTATATACATTAACAGTGTATACACTGTCATGGTTGGATTTATGACATGTGTGCAAAAGTTGAGTTTCAAATTCAAATTTTGCATAGTTATCATTCATGCAATGCTAACAGTGTATACACTGTCAGTGTAGGAAAGATTAATTCTAAAGTTTTCCTCCTCAACTTTGTATGAGCAGAGCCGTTAATAAGAAAAGCTTTTCTAGCTTTATTTCTCTGTGTTTGTCCAATTTTGAAAGAATTTTTTTGACTGTTTACTCAATCTAAAATATTCCATATATTTTTTAAGTATTTTTTTATTCTTAATTTCTAGAGCGAAGCACAGATGATGGAGTAGCCTGTGGAAGCAATTGCAGTGTTTTGAAAGTAGTTAAATGCAGAAGAGAAAAAATGATTTTATAGGGTGGACATAGCATGCTTGCCGACTTTGCTAACACCGTTCTAAATGTTTTCTTCTTTGATGGATTTAACTTTTGGGTTTGGTTGTTTTTTTCTTTTTTAATTCTTTGGGTGATTAAAGTAGATGGTTTCAGGTAAACTATTTCTTTTTTTTTTTTTTTCCCCATTTCTCTGCTTGGAACTAGATTAGTTCTAAGATAAAGATATTGCTTTACTAGCGCCATCAAAGCTAACATCATCGAAGCAACATGTGAACCAATCTAATCTGGATTGGGCCAGAAGTGTTTTTTTTTTTTTTGGGTAGGATGCCAATCTGTTTTCCTAAAGTTTAGGGTTCAAAACTCATCATTTTCTTATCCTTGCAGCTGGTAAAGGCTCATGATCTCCTCTTAATTTGAAACTGCACACCAAAGAAGAGTTCCTAATGGTTTTGGAGTGATGACTTCAAGCTACTAAAGCACAAGTACGCGAGCATAATTAGTTTGAAAAACATAGCCGTTTGGATTGCTATTTTTAAAAGTTTTTATAAAAAAAATATACTATAACAATTTGATGTATGTCAAGTAAAAATGTGATTGAAAAAAATGTGTTCATTATAAACATAAAATTTTTTTTTTCAAAGAATCACAATCCAAACATGGGTAACTGTTATATTTAAAATGATTTATTAAAAAAACACACTTTCGGAAGTGGTAGTAAAATTTAACGTGTCGTACTTATTGCTAACATGAAAGAAAGGAGAAATAATAGTGGCAATTACAGCTTGGAATTGATTAATTAGTCCAAGGGATGAACATCGACTCCTCTTCAAATTTGATTAATCAGATCAAATCAAATGATGACAACCCAACCAGTACTTGCGCAAAATGCACAGTTAGAGCCCCGAAATGGGAAAACGACGATAGGGATTGTGAAGTTACAGTTATTTAGCATCCTAGGTTGATTGCTGGTACCAACGTTGGCTCAAATCTGAAGATATGAAAATCGTGAAATCATTTAAGGCTATCGCCCCCTTCCAAGTACCAACGTTGTAACCTATGCCTCCTCAGGGCTTGTTCTGCACATGATTGTTCTTTGTCACTTATTGCTCAATAATGAATGTAGATAATGGTCTACCCTAAACAAAAAAAAAACAAAAAAAAAAAAACTTTTAATCAAGGATGAAGACGTTTT